CCTTTTCAGGCTGCGCCTGAACGGGAACTAATAATGTCAGTGATATGAACGCTGTAATTCTTACCTGGCATGCTACAGTCACAGCAGATATTATTTCCTGGCATAAGTTTAATTTCCTTTACTATACTCTGACTTAGCTCAATAACACTGTTACTTGCTGACAAGTGTTTGTGTTGAGTGTCATCATCAAAAGCTATTCTCAAGGCTTGTTCTCGACTGTTGTTCAACACAGACATCCATTCCTCTATCTCTTCCTCTGTGTCCGCAGAGAAATGATACGTTCTGTTGCCTAGGAGAAAAGACACAAAAAGCTCAATTATTCTTGTACCATTCATGACCATGGGATACATTGTTCATAGATTGCTTAACCCTTTGAGAACTAGCCTTTGTGTTTCAGGAATGCTTGAACTGATCAACGTGATCTATTGCATTTAGCATGTATGATCTAAGCATCTTCTGAGAAAAATATTATACCCTGATATACATGCATATCAGTGGGTACATAAAGGTATATTCAGCTTTCAAACTTAGACCCCATAAAGCTGCTCTGTATTCTACACATGTCGCTTTCATCTCTTATGCTGAATATTGACAGTATTCAAAGTTTGTAGCTTTTTTGAAGTAGAACATGTTATAAACTTACGAGTGATAAGGTCAAAACATTTCTTTCCTCCTTGATCTTCAGGAACTAACTTTACTTGACATGTTAATAAATTCAACTTCACTGGTGGTTTTGCTGAAGTGGAATGTGCAATTGATAAGTAGCCATTTTTTATCGAGCATTTTCTTTTCTGATTTTTTTTCACAATACCATCACTTCGTTTGTAGAGGTAACCATGTTTTTCACTGCCATGTGCTTTATTGCCTTGCTGCTGGTGAACGTTGTATTGAGTATTGTTACCTGTAGACTGAAGAATAAACCATAATTCAGTAAATTTACAAAAAGTGAAGATTTGCTGTTCATGGAATTGATATAATAGTATACAAATTAAAATAAATATAAAACATAATTAAAAAGAAATTTGTTGTGAAGAAAGTTGCATTGATACTGCCTTTCTAAACTAGAAACTAGTATTTTAGGATTAACAGAGCAAATGGCTGTTTTTCATGAAGTAAGATAAAGTATACAGGAAATATGAATATAAACTAAACAATTAGATTGTAAAATATTTGATGACACTAACCTCTTTTTCTAATGCTAGTGATCCTCGAAGTGTGTTTCTTAGTTCTAGCAGATCTTTTTTCTCTTCATCTTGTTGTTGTTTGATTTGTTGTAACTGTGATGTCAATTCTTCTACGTAACTTTTGAAATGTTCCAAAGTTTTCAACCCATCTTGGAAATAACTGAAGAAGTGCAGTAAACATATATTTAATTATGAGACACATCACTGCCAATGTCATGTGACATCACTGCAAATGTCATGTGACATCACTGCAAATGTCATGTGACACCACTGCCAATGTCATGTGACACCACTGCCAATGTCATGTGACACCACAGCTAATGTCATGTGACATCACTGTCAATGTCATGTGACATCACTGCCAATGTCATGTGACATCACTGCCAATGTTATCCACATCTCACACACATCATGATGTAAGAGGATGACCAAAACAAAATGGCCACTGTATCTAGGCAACAACCAGATGTAGATAAACAAGATCTTATATATCAATTATCCATGAAAGCTTTCAGAAGGCAATGTTTTAATATGCATCAACTAGAAATTTAAATCACCAAAAATATAAGTCAAAACAAAGAAATTTTTGCTGGAAAATTTACAATTATTAAAATACCAATTTCAGTGCAAGAAAAATATATATTATTGTATTCATTTGTGATATAATGAATGAAATCAGACTTACTTGTTTTGTGAGTGACAAAATTCCACTAAATGCTGCAAAAAATCTACTCCTTTTTTGGCTTTGATTTCATTTATTTTGATTAGGTACTAAAACAATAAACAAATATAGTTTAGCAAAAATACCAAAGAAAATATCACCAGGTGATACCAGATTGTCTACAATTACATGCCTGGCTTAACCTTTTCACCACCAGTTCCTTTTTTTCATTCCAAATTCACAAAATAGTCATTTTCATAGTCTGTAATTTCCTTCAGAAGTTTGGAACAAAAATAGCCAAATTGTTTGAGTAAAAACTGAAAATTGACTAAAATTTTGTCTGTTGGCTTCAAAATTAGGGTTCCTCACAAGAAATATTGATGAATATAAGAACAATTTTTATGAGAAAGTCTGGGGGTGAAAAGGTTAAAGCAACAATAGTTATTAACTATCAATTTTTTTCTCTCAGATTTGTATTTTTAATAAAACATTTCCACGTCATCAGTGTCAATTTGTAATGGCCATTGCCAAAATGTGGACACTGTAAGCATATCATATAGGCTATATAAGGATGTTGCACATTAAATCACTTGCAAGTGAAAAAGATGGATGCAGGGTTGTGTCCAGATCTCCAGAGGGCGCCACCTACTTTGATCCAGTTTTGTCAAGTGAACCTTATGGTTCATGTCAAAGACCTCCCCATGTTGAGCAGCTAAGCCTCTCTCTGACGGCCTCTCACTGATAATTTTATGTGTCATTTCCCATTATAGTGTGCATCATGCGTCACAATTTTCTACGGCTCTCGGGACTGATTTCAACAATGACAAGTCGACAGTTAGTTTTCACATTGCATTTTATGTGATATAGCCTTGTGTAGGGTTACATGTAATTGTGCCTTAAACAATATTTTGGTGAGATTTTGTCATCTCTATGTGATTATACCTAAACAAAAATATTTTCAACAACACAGCTATTGTCACTTTAATCATTTTATGCAGGTAACAAATTATAAGCACCTCAAAATAAAGTAATAATTCTTCCAAATATAGTAATGACTTCCAAATATGGTAAAAACTTATTAAAGTTTTAATATAATTGAAAGTTGGGAGAAATATCCCTCCCAACTTTTAAGGCTGACTAATGACAATTTGTTTTGCTGAATGAGGACATTGTACTATTTGCAGTGACATCTCACCTCACAAGCCTGCAACTGAAAACTTCTTCTTTCTTTCTCCATTTCCATAGCAATCTGAAATAATAATAAAGCACCAAGGATGAACTACTAAACATAATAAATATTTACCGACATACACAAAACTGAACTAAGTGGTTTTTAACATTGACAAGATTGTAACAAGATCTGTAAGTAGGTTTAATACAATTTTGATATCACAACAAACACTGGATATCATGTGTGAGAATATGACCATGATAAACATGTATACTATGCTCTGTAAACTTTGTAAAATAACAATCTATCTTTCAAATTTGAAATGACTGTCTTCTCCTTTATCAAAAACATAAATCACTCAATGAAGGAATATAGTACTTGTAACAATGTTTTCAACTATTTGTATCTGCTGAAATTTGCGTATAGGGGAAGCTCATCTGCATGGAAATATTGAATCGTGGGATTTTAAGTCATGAGTAAATATTGCATTTCTCTCTGTGACTCGCGATTGGTTAGTAATTTCATGACGACAATCTATCTACGCTACAGGAGAATTTCTATACAGTGGCAAGTGTTATATATAGAGTATATAAGCCTGTGCTTGAAATTTTGCAAATGCATTGCAGCAATTGTTTAAAACATTTTAGTTGAAAAAAAATAGGCCAGAGGGACTGTCAACATTCTATATCTGCCTCTACTTTATGCGACACGGTTCCTAATCACATCCAGATTACCTCTGGTCCTGATAACTCAGCTCGGATCATCCCAACTTCTTTTGCCAGCTGCCTTTTTTCTCTCTCAATTTTGGTGCTAATGAGGTAAAGAAAGATACAGTGAATAATAAAACAATAACATACGACTATAAAGACAATATCATGATTCATTGCCTGCCCTAGGGATGGTGGTCATGACTATAAAATTTATGGTGTCAGCGCTGAAAGCAGAAACATCAACATTATTTGGCCTAAATAAACGGAATAGTCTATTGTTCACATATGTTCTAAATTTAGGAAGCAAGTTCAGTTTTATTCAATCAACAACATTAGTTAATTTTACGGTTAAGCTGGAATACCATTAATATGGGATTTTAATAACATGTATGATTTCACAGCCCTTTAACTTATCCGATCTTGAACAGTACTTACTATTTTGATTCATACTCTTTCCATGCTTTGTCAAATGGTTTCTTCAAATCTCCTTTCTGTCCCTTCAGATCATTTTTCAAGAGAGAATCCATCGGGAATAAAACACAGTTACTGAAATTCTGCATCTACAAATCAAAAATCAATACCATATATCATTAACAACATGCAGGTCATATACAGATACAGAACAAGCTGTAAAACATCTTGCCATTTTTGTCAGGAATATGACCATAAATGATAAGAGTAGACAATGTAAATATACTTCCTCATTTGGGATTAGCAACTAAAATAATCACAAAAATATGCATAACTAAACAACCCCCAGCATAACTGTCACTGAAATCACATCCGCTGTGCGTCAGTCGATACTCATGCTGTACTGTCTTATTATTATACATCTTTTCCTTCCAAGGATACATCATGGAAATGGCGAAATCCAAAAAGTTTAGAACAGAATCAGCAAACTTCTTTGTGAGGAGTTCGGTTAAACCCTGGTGGCAGCCATGTTTGTTTTTATTATTAGATAACGCTTATGCGCGTAATCATTCCATATTTGGAATTTGCATTTCCTAATAGGGTAGGATTAAAGTACCCCATAAAATACAGCAATATTACGGCATGCTGTAACTTATGACGTTATGGTGACAGATGTATAATAATAATACTTTATAGAATATTTTTATATCCGTATTTGAAACTAACATAATCTGATAGATAAGAACCAAGATTTTTCACAGACTGAGCATAATAAATATAATGTCATACATGATTGCTGTTGAATCCAAGTTTATACACAAGGCAGATTTTGATATTTGAAAAAAACCCTGTCAACAAACAAGCTGTTCTCTGATTGGTCAGACTCTTGCCAGGGTAGCCAATCAGACACAGTATTATAAGTAGCTTTGCATTGACTCCCTGTTTGCCATGTTAAGTTCACAGAGCATGCATGTTCCAATTTAAATTTTATTTGATCTCAAACTTCTTACCACATTTTTTAGAATAGCTGACAATTCTTTTGTTACGACTGAAAACTTGAGGAATGCTGCACCTATGTCTGGTTCAGTATCTCTGGTCAATGCTAGAGTCCCTAGCTTTTCTAAGTTCTCTGCAAATAATACTTCATTGCTGACATGTTCTGAAAAAAATACCATAAGTTTGTAAAAAATTATTTCAGTTTGTGTACAAATAGTTGCTATAAAATAGATAAAAATTAAGGATTTTGAATAAATATGTTCCAAGAAATAATAGGCGGACTTACCATTTCCAGTATTACAAACGCATTTCACTGACTTCTTGAGTTTACTTATAGCACTTCTATCTGCATCCAATGTCTGAAATAAAACATGAAAATAAAGAAAACTTGAGATAATATTTTGATGGTTTGAGGAATTAATAAAATGACCAATAGTAAATAGTTAACAGGTGACCAAAAGTAAAACATCCCAGGTGACCAATAGTTAAACCTCCCAGCTGACTGTTAGTACAATGTCTTAGGTGAACACGAGTAAAACATTCTAGGTGACATGCACTTCTTTTAGAGATTTTTGTCATTTAACATGACATTTTGGACTTTATTTTTGAAAAATTGTCCAGTGACCCCAAATTGTTTTTTTTTTCATTTACGTTTTCTAATGGCATTAACCCAAAATAATGTACAAATGGAGGAGACATATCACCTAATTTAACTCAACCTCCTGAACATCCTTCAGAGATAAATGAATAGGGCTATTGTAACTATAGGTATCAAACCATCATTATACAATATACATACATACATACATTTCTATATTTTATTTCTCAGTAAAAAATCAAATTACAGTCTCATAATTACAATTTGTTCACAGTATACAATCCAACGAGCGATTAAAACTTTGCAATAACGATTTTCAAAGTCAATAAACTACAATATTCTACAATTAAAAATGTCAAATTATCGATGATTTAAAACTCTGAAGCATTATACAATACAAAAATAGACGATATAAAAACAAAGTCATGAAATAACGGTACATTATTAAACATAATATAAAATGTTCCAGAAAACGATATGGAGTCCGTGTGATATACCCCTGGTTGCACAACAGTGTTGATCGATTGTTCATATCAAATAATCCGGGAACTGCAACGACTGACCATTAACTATAGCAACAGCATTGTTGATGCAGAAAAGTGCTTCAAATTCATCAAGTGTGTGGATAAGTAGATGGTACTTAAATTCATTTGATATTCTGAACTTGACCCGTGTTTTGAAGCACTGCAGAACATCAGTTCGTGATACCAGATCTTTAACCTTATCAATTCGTGTAACATGAATTGATGCCTTCATCGTAATCAGTAGGTAACAAAGCAGGCGATGTGTATTGGTAATGACACGCCTTCTTGGAGGACCAAATATATACCAGGATAGGGGGACTGGACCTTGGTCACACAATGTACTGATTATGGTGTTGCACGTAGTAAAAAGTGTTGTCAGTCGAGGACACTCGATAAAAATGTGCACCAATTCATCTTTTTCATCACAGAAAACGCACGCATCTGAATTTCTGATTTTAGGTTTCAAGTAAAAACCACCAGTTGGATAAGCGCCATGTAAAAGGCGCCATTGCAAATCGCCGTCTTTTTTAGTGACTGGCGCAATATAGCAGTCACGAAAGTTTAGCTTAATATCAGCAGGCAAGGATAAAATATCCGACCAAACTGCTTCGTAAAGAACATTATCTTTAGAGAGTTTATTGGTAAGTACAAAAAACTTATACAGCTCTCCTCCCTTATCGATCTTCTAGAGGGGATAGTTCAGCAGGATATCATTCCCGTCATCCCGGTACACTAATTCTAAGGATTAATTAGTGTCACGTGACTCAGTTTTATTTATATGACTGGACTTATTTATTATACCATGCCACTCTAGTGGTATCGCACGTTTTATTACATCTAGTGCCATAGTAAGAAGGCGTTTAGCATATATGGGCACTAATCTATATAACGTGTCAACATGAAGGCAATTGTGGTTATTGTCGAGCAGATTCCCGATTTTGGTGAGCCCGGCTTGATGGAAATGCAACATGTTTAGTGGAATATTACCAACATGGTGTATTATAAGTGGGTTAAAAAACAAAGGTTCATTACACACGTCATCAATTG